CACCAAATCGGCAGATGATTCTCTGCCAGACGAAACTGATCAAGGTGCCTAAGGTTATTTTAGCTAATGCCTTTGCCTCAATCCATTTTGTGAAATATTCTATGGCGAAGTGGCGAAACGCAAGTTGCATGGTGCCAATGGAAGTGCCCTACTGTATCAACTCCCCATCACTATAATGGCCATGTCAGGATTATGGACTTGGTTGGGTTTGTGGGTGTGGTTTACTTGGTGGCAAACATCTAGCAACTTCCGTAGCTTTGGACCATCTGCTTGGCATCTTCGACTGCCGATGGCCAATAGAAACCTTGCCTCATCGCTCCGTGGACAATTTAATATGGTCCTCTATGTGTGTAGCAAGAACCAACATGAATCTCACTAAGTAATTCTTCACCTTGCTGCTTGCTGATGCATTTGAGGTGACTCTGCTTCGGTATAGCTCACCACCTATGATTGAATAATGTTTGGTGCGAGCATTGATCCTTTCAATCTCATGTTTGCTCGTTGGCTCGTTAGTTTCATTCAGATATGCGAAAATGTGTGATCTCCAGTCTTCGCTTGCGATGGCATGTAATATTGCTGGGTGGTCCTCTTCTTGTTTTACTGCCTTGATAGTGAGGAATTGAAAGAAAACATCTGGGGGTATTGGGGCATTCTGTGATGCTGCCTTTGCAAGCTCATCTGCCTCCATGTTTTCTCTTCTTAGGATGTGGCAAAGGGTGAAACCTGAGTAGTGCTTTTCCATTCATCATACTACTGCTAGATATTTGGCTAGTATGACTCTTCTACTATGAAATCTTTCTTGATATGTTTGTCGATGACCTGGGAGTCAAACCAAATCACACATCTTCTTACCCCGAGTGACCTAAGTTTTCGTAATCTGAGGAGTGTTGCCTCGTATTCGGCTATGTTGTTTGTGGTGAGGAACTGCAACCTTGCCGCATATTTGAGCCTAGGCCCACTTGGCAGGGTTAGAATTGCTACGATTCTGGCACCGAGGCACCCTAGGCTCCATCATAGTGTAATGTCCAAACGGGCCCATCCTACCGTAAGGTAGTATCAAAAGCTACCGGTGTCCAATCTACGATGAAATCAGCGAGGACTTGAGACTTGATTGCCGATCTATGCTTGAAAACGACGGTGTCTTCGTTGAGTTCTGTGGTCCATTTGCCTATTGACCCAATGGCTTCGCTGTTGCGGAATAACGCTTTAATGGGTTGAGCTGACAACACTTTGATTCGATGAGCTTGAAAGTAGTGCTTCAATTTTCGCGAGGCCATGAACACAGTGTATGCTATTTTTTCAAGCTTGAAATAGTTCAACTTTGCTCCAGACAATGCCTCAAAGATGAAGTAGATGGGAAATTGTTTCAATTTGTTTCCGTGCTCTTTTTCTTCTACCAATACCGCACTTACGATTGCGGGCGAGGCTACCAAGTACAGTAGCAAAACTGCTACTGGCGAAGGCTTGGACAATGTGGTTAGCTTGGTCAGATATTCTTTTAGGTCGTTGAAAGCTTGATGATGTTCAAGGCCCTAGGCAAAAAGGTTAGAATTTTGGAGGACTCTGAAGAAAGGCAGCCCTCTTTCTGGTGATTTGGCGATAAATCTATTTAATGTCGCTAACCTTCTTGTTAACTTTTGCACTTGCTTTCTGTTTGTTGGTGGCTGCATATTCGCTATGGTGGCGATCTTGTCGGGGTTTGCTTTGATGCCTCTGGCGAAGACTAAACAGCCGAGTAGCTTCCCTTTCTGAATGCTGAAAAAGCACTTGTCCGAGTTGAGATTGAGGCCACTTTTTCTCAGGTTCATGAAATTTTACTGTAAGTCTGCGATGTGGGTATGTTTCTTGTCACTTTTTATGACTATATCGTCGACATAGGCGAGGAGATTTCGCCCTTTCTGCTCACTGAAAACCATATTTATCATTCTTGAGAAAGTTGGCCCTGCGTTTTGTAGTCATTCTGCCATTCATCGGTAACAATATGTCCCTCCAGGTGTGATGAAACTCGTTTTCTCCTCATCCTTGCTGTTTAACTAGATTTGATGATAACCAGAAAAACAGTCGAGGAGAGACATCATTTCACAACCGGCTGCTATGTCGACCAACTTGTCAATTCTTAGCAAGGGGTATGGATCTTTTGGGCAACACTTATTTAGGTCAGTGAAATCAACACACATCCGCCATTTGTCGTTTTTCTTCTTAAGCATGACTACATTCGCCAGTCATTCTGGGTATTGTATTGGCCTAATGACTTCGTCGTTGAGCAGTCTTTGGACTTCGGCTTTCGCTGCTTCTGTCTTTCACTTGACATTTTCTTGAGCTTATGCTTTCTCGTCTTTGCTTCTACTTTTATGTTTAAGGAGTGTTGTTCTAGCTCCCAGCTAACACCTTGAAGATCTTTCACTGACTAGGCGAAAACATCGCTATTCTCATGCAAGAAAAGTATGAGCTCTTTTTTTTGGTGAGCACCAAATCTACACCAATGTGGACACATTTGTCGAGCGCCATTTTTGACAACAACGTCTTCTGGGTATCCTCTCCTGATTCTACTCTGCTTGATAGTGACTTCAAACTTGTTAGTGAATCCTCTGTCGAATATAGTGGTGTATGGGTAGTCCATGTTGACTATATGTTATCATTTATGTGCAAACCCTTTCGCCTTCAGCGAAGGATACTAGAGTGACTTTCTTTCCAATAGCTTCTGTCTTTTCCCTCGAAAACCGTGCAAAGGATTACCAGTTGGTTCCACTGTTCGTCTATCCAGACCCATTGACTCAAAGGGCTTCATGAACAAGATGTCTGCGGAGCTACCGGTGTCTATTAAAACGTTATGCAGTGTACCTGTTACATTTGCTGCTGCGACGAATGCATTGGTGTGAGGATAATCATGAACTTGGAAATCATATTCATCAAATGTGACTAGGACTTGGGACCAGCTGGCCTATTCATTGGCAGCCTTGGCAAAACGGTATGGACTCTTCTCTCGTAATCTCGTCTTGCACGCTTGCTCTCATGCTCTTGTTTTCATCCGCCTGTGATGGCGAATATTTGGCCATGCGAAGGAAGGATGTTATTCATTGTTTGCTGCTCTTGTGTATTTTCTTGCTTGGCAGGCTATGGTTGGCTTGATTGTTGTTGCTCTGGCTGAAGTGGCAAAGATACTGCTACGAATGACTTGGATAATGATCGTATTGCTGGTAAGCTGAGTATATGCGGGGTGCTGCTAGACGTATGATGGTTGGGCGAAACCTTGTACGAGGTTGGCTTGATGGATTGGATTGTTGTTTGGGAGTAATATTGTTGGTTGTAGGACCGCGTGTGCATGCTTTCGCAAAGAGCATTGTGGTATACATGCTTTGGGGTTTAGCTAGTCCTTGAGGCATCATCTTTCTCTTTGAGTTCTCATGCCATTTTGTTATATTTGCATTCTCTTGTGACATGTCTGGTATTTTCACCGCACACAAAATAGTAAGGCACTCTCTGACCTCTACCTCTTACGCGCCCTTCACGGTCACCATGAAAGCCTCAGCCTCCTCTACCGCCATGCTGAGTCTGATCAAAGTTGCGATGTTGGTGGAAATGCGAGTTGTCGGGCTACGTTTGTTCTGAGGCCCACTGACCCGCTTCTTCTTGTTGATTGTTTATTGAGCGAAAAGGTCTCACATTTCGTTGGGGCTATGGTTGGGGTGGTCTTGGCATTTTAGTTGCTTGCCTTGTTGAACTACGCGTGGCTTTTTGTCTTCTATAATCTACGTCTAATCTGGCGTATTGGTTCATGATTCGAAACATTCGCTCACAATATCTGGCAGCGACCTGGCGAGGAATAATGCGGACTGACCGGTGGCAAGGCCTTCGATGGCCACTGCTATGGCCGCTGCTTCTGGAATGTTGGGAGCCTGCTCCTTGAGCTGGATGAACTTTTTTTAATAGTCGGATAGAGACTCATCATCTCACTGCACACAAGTCATGGGCGATGCCTTCGACTGGCATGATGAATGATTTCGCCAAGGCCTAGTTGTCTCCCCCGGCGGAGATGACTAATTTTCTAGGATTGGACTGTCCGTCGAAAGGGGGAATGAGACGCTTATAATTATGTGGCCAAGGGTGTTGCTATAACTCTCTAGATAATGGCGGGGTTTGATCGTATATTGCTAAGTTTTCGCCTTGATTTTTGAGCTGTGGTTGAATGACATCAATGCCAACATGCTTGGCATTTTTGCCATTTGCCCTCTGTATGTAGCTGCTCAAAGTCTCTGTTGAGATTAATTCGTTGCTGTTTGGCTTCTCTTATGGAGTTTTCACCTGCACAGCCCTGTTTCTCACCACTACTTGCTGCAACTGCTCTTTTTGTCGCTCTAATCTTTGGATTTCCTGTCCTGGATTTTGTCGTCTTCATTTTTGTTCTCCTCGACTCCTAGATCTTGTACGAATCCTTCTAGGGTGTCTTCTCGCCCCACTGGAGGCACTGCTTCGTCATGTGGGATCTGTAGCGCTGCCAATTCGGGTAACTGGGGGGATGGGGGGTATTCGCCCTAGGGAGGACGGTTGAGTTCGCGGCTAATGTGGCCACTGCTTTTGCTAGGGCCGCTTCTTCTGCTGCTTTCGATGTCTCGGTTACGTCACTTCCTCCTTTCGCTCCTTTCCTTGGGGCCATGACAAGTTCGGGCAACAACCACGGTGGAGTATCAAACGAAAACGAATGACATGATAGCTCACTGGAATAGCAATCTTCTTATTCGTCATCCTCTACATCAACCCTTTGGGCCATGTTTATAAATGCCCGTAGACTTTCCAAAGACTAAACTACCCCTTCAACCACCCTAGATTCGCAGCATATCCTGCCCGATCCAGTACAGCTTGGTCCTAACTCAAACTGCCTCCCCTGGGAACAGTCGTCCCTGGTCCATGCCTGCCCTCGTTCGTTGGCCCCGCGTGGAAGTGGGGGAGGGACCAGCAGAGGCAGGCTTCTCTACGCCAGTCTCTGACGGGTGCCTAAGCCTCTAGCATGCCAGCTGCCATTCTGCCTCCTCCTTGCTTGTTCTCCTTTCACCATCCCAGAAAACTGCCTGCAATTCCATAGCATTCACAGCTGGTGGAATGGGAACGCTGCTTTCGAAATGCAATCCGTCTGGAAGGTCCGAAGAGGTCTTAGTCTCCTTTCGCACGCTGGGTTGAAAAAGGTCAGGGAGGCGGAAAGGGTGAAAAGAAGGGGTGCCTAGAAGGCGCACCTTCCCCTAATAGATGGGAACTCATGTTGTCATCAGATAAGTTATAAGATTTGATTACAAATGATCACAATATACCATATCTAGAGATATCCTAATATATTATAACACATGGATGAATCTAGTCGAGTCAACCAATGTTTCGGTACATGTGATGGGAATATAACTTGGCATAACCTTCTTGAGATGGAATATAATGTGTCTGCTTCCTCATAGACATCTAATGCAAATCATTGTTGGTTGTTGCCCATCAATTAATGAAAACAATTACTTAAAATTGCTCCCCCATATAATTAGGCCAGTCTCAATTGGGTTTTCATGAGTGTTTCATGAGCAATAAATGAACTGATGTGGCATAGTATTGATGAATAGAGAGATGAAAAAAGTTTCATGGGATGAACTGAGTTTCATAGGGATGAAACTTGTCTACACCGTTTCCAACACATGAGTCTTGAATAATAGTGACATGAAACCCCCACCTGGACTGGTCTTAAGGTGTTCGTGGTTAACAAATATAAGTATGCCAAATAGATACGAAACATGAAACATTATTTCAACCATGTCATCTTGAAAAGGACAGGATGACAAACTCACCTTAGGGGCAGGATCCTTTGGTGGGCAGATGACAGCCTTCAACACGGCAGCATGTACCTCACCATCCAACTCTTCCACTCGCTTCAATAAATCATCATCATTTTTTTGGGAATCATTGTCAATGGATGACTCCAGATTTTGAAGGTCCTTCTTGCTCTCCATGGAGATCATCAGTATCTCAAACATGCCCGCATCTAATGGCGGTGTCTCTTGCCTTACCATCTTTACAGTTCAAACAACAGTGGACATTGGGCGCAAATTGTAGGAGATGCGCTGGTCGATAGCATACATATCTTGGAACTGCTGTCTGATAAAACAGGCAAAATATTGATGGGTCCTGTTAACTAAGTTCAGTGAGCACTGTGTAACCTTTTTGGCCTCGAAGGGAAAGCAGAGCTCGAGAGGGTGGACATCCAGCAGCGCACTCTCGCTTGACCAATAAGGACGTAGCTACAACAGCAGAATATGTGCATGGACTAGTGAGAGTTCAGAGTGGCATTATATGCAACACACACACACACAAATCATATCAAGATAAAAAGGTGGAAAGAAATGGAAAAAATGCTTTCGGTAAGAATAGACATTGTATTGTAGGACTGTTTACATGCAAAAAGAAAAGGGAAACACCGCCAAGCATGAATAAAACGGATCTGGCTAACTGTTGATTTTCAAAACAAAAGGAAAGAGATTAGCTATTACGAAGTGGAATTACCATGAATTCTCTATATACATGCATGGACAAAATTAAAATGCCAAATCAACATTAAATGATGAGCAGATTGAAAAAAACTGAATCATATATAACGTGGGAAGACTTGTATGCATGGTGGTACTATGGTTTATATATATTACACATGCATGTTTTGCTCCCCTGTACGGTTGGCTGTAGAAATGTAAACTCACCTCTGGCGCCATGGATGCAATAATTCTCATTGGCTTGCATGCTTGTTTGGCCTGTCGATAGTACTGGTAGAACCTACCCAGCTAAAAATGAAGACACAATAAATCAATTATAGGAAGTTTGTGGGAGTAGGCATGTATATTTAATGTAACTGAAAGCTGATGATACTACCTGCACTGAAATATCTGTTTCATTAAGCCTACGGATAATATCTTGTATATGAGGCCTTTTGCTTGGGTCATCATGCATGCAATCTATCCCTATCTCAATACATAGTTTTACTTGTTCTAGTGGTGGATTGCTCTTTGATGTCCCAAATGTGTTCGTCCAACTTTCAAGCACCTACCAATGTTACAATAAAAGCGCACTAAGAAGTATATATATATATATATATATATATATATATATATATATATATATATATATATATATATATATCAGGGGCGAGCCTTTAATTTTAAGATAGGGAACACAAACATGTAGCTATATAGAACACGTATAGGTTGATGCAGATTTCGAACCCGCAAGTAGTGTGATGAATAGCACCAAGCCAAAAAAATGTAGCCATTATCTTGAAACAGGAATGTAAATTATTACTACCATATTAACATTGGGGCATTCCTTACTCCCCGTTAGAATCTGTATGATTATAACACCAAGACTATATATATTTGTCCCAAATGAGATTGTTCCGCTTCTTAAAAATTCTGGTGCCATATATCCCCTGCATGAAAAATTAATGCAGTGAGAATAAATAGCTAAACGGGATAGTAGTATGCACCGGAGAGTTAGTTGGTGCCTGACAATACAAATGGATGTCTGAGAGAGAGAGAGAGAGAGAGAGAGAGAGGAGAGAGAGAGAGAGAGAGAGAGAGAGAGAGAGAGAGAGAGAGCATACGGTGATCCAACTATATTTCCAGTAATAATCTTGTTTTGGTTTTCTCTGAAGCGTCTCGATATACCAAAATCTGTAATCTTAGGCGCCATGGTGTCATCTAGCAGTATATTTTCAGGTTTGAGATCCATGTGAATAATACGCCGCTTGTGAAGATGGGCCACGCTCTCACAAATCCCCTTAATTATTTGATAGCGAACCCTCCACTCAAGTCCAGAAGATGCATCTGTGAAGAATATATATACACACACAACACAAAAGGTAACTATGATTAGTTCTGATTTATGTCATGAGACGAGTTGTTTCTTCTTTACTTATCAGAAATGCTCTTACTTATGGCTCATCTTACCAGTAACATAGTTGGCAAGACTCCCTTTACTTAGGAATTCAAACCAAAACAACATGTTCCGCTTGTCTACCCAGACATTTCTTCCTCCATGCGGATACACCATATGCTGCGTTTCGTAACTGTAGCCTAGAAACCGTACTATGTTTCTGTGCTTCACCTCTATGAGACAATTAACCTCATGCAGGAAATGCTTCTCTTGAACCTCAATAAGTGTGTTATCATGAAGCTTCTTCACAGCGACAATAATCCCATTTGGAAGCACTCCCTACAGTTCAACACATTATTGTTAAGTTTAATTTGTGCCCATGAGCTAGGGCCAAGTTGCATGCATGGTACGTATATATACTAACCTTATAAACAGATCCAAAGCCACCGACGCCGATAAGTTGATCATCAGAGAAATCTTGTGTGATGGCCTTGAGGAACCAGAAACGTAGGTCTATTGGAGCCACACTTTCATCAGCTAACGCCTTCTCTAAGTCCAGACATATGCTGTTTTGGTAATTATTGTCCATCGTCGGACACGATGAATCAGACTTAGAGGCAGATGCTCACTCTTCCAACTTCACTGTATCTAGAAAAAAACAATTGATGGACCGTGTTACTGTGGCTATGAAAAAATGTGTAGGAGAGGGGAATGAAAATAGGATCAACAGACATGCATGGGAGGGGAGAAACACCGTATTGATAACAAGTAACAACTAACAGATCTCTGAAAGAGATGATTTCTTCATTGGCAAGGGAAATAAAAAAAAAGGCAAGCCAACAACCCAATATATAATCAAACACTCGATCTAGCAGCAGAAGGAAGAAATAAATCTAGCTAGACTTACGACATGATTAATGAGCGGTTACAGGGAGCAGACGCAAGGCGTCAACAGGGAAGAGAGGGAGCAAATCTAGCTTCGAACGAACGAAGATCATTGTCTTCCACCAAGGGCACGGGGACGGGGCATGCAACGCATAGTCTATACTCTATAGCTATAGTACAGTGGTATATGCAGAAGAAACAAAGGAGCTGCCAACTTTTGATTGTCTCGAGCAGAGCAGGAACACGTGAGGGGCATCGATCAAGGCGACGACATTGTGTGTTGCTGCAATTTTTCTAATGCCATGTACTCGTTTCCCGAAAACAGATCATCGTACTACACATTACTACACATTCGCTGGTTGGTTTTTGGCCTGATAAACCTGGCTGATGCTGGTTCGTTGTGAGAGAAAAACACTGTTAGCCGGTTGATAAGCCCTGGCTGAAACCAACATGCGAACAGCCCAAAGAAATTAAGTCACTACTGGAAACAGCAACATTGCCGAGGGCAAAAGACTTTGCCGAGGGCCTGATTTCGGGCACTCGGCAAATCCTTTCTTTGCCGAGGGCACGCCCTGGCTTAGCCCTCGGCAACGGCTCGCTCGCCGAGGGCCGGACCCTCGGCAATCAACGGCCCACGGCAAAGGCCCACCTTTGCCGAGGGGCGGCCCTCGGCACAATGATCGCCTCTCGGCGACCTCGGCCCGGCGTGTGACGCGCGGGCACCGTCCGTCCTTTTTTGCCGAGGGCTCGGCGTTAGGCCCTCGGCAAAGAATTTGGAAATAAAAAATAAAACTCTTTGCCGAGGGCCCGTTATGCAGGCCCTCGGCAAATATTTTGAACGGGATGGCGCGTGAAATAAAGAACATCTTTGCCGAGGGCCTTGGATGTTGGCCCCGGCAAAGAAATTAAATAAAAAAATAAAAATCTTTGCCGAGGGCTCGGATCTAGGCCCTCGGCAAAGAGGGGACCCCATATAAAAAGGGAACGGCCGGCGGACGGCCTTATCCCAAGCCGCGCCCGAGCCGCCACTCGCCCGCCGCCGCCGCCCGCCGCCACCACACAGCCACCGCTCGCCGCCAGCCACGCCCGCCGCCCAGCCGCCAGCCGCCTTATCGCCCTCGCCGCCGCCAAACAAGCCGCCGCCCTCCCCCTCGCCCCGTTTCCTCCTCTCCGTCGTCTCGCCCGTCATCTTTGCCGGACCCGCCCGCCGCCCAGCCACGTCCTCCGCCGTCGTCGCCTCGGAAGGTTCGGTGCCTCTGCTCCCTCCCGATCTCTTCTTTACAAAGTCACCTTGATTTACGCAATCTTGACTGAAACCTTGAAATGTTGTTATTATGCATCATTGTATTGCTTTTGCATGGATTAGTCTTTGTTGCTAGTGAACTGATGATTATTTACGCATAATCGGTCCGTAAAGGGACGTTTGAAATGATTCTACTACAAAGCTTAGCAAAATCTGAATAACAACATTTATGCTCGCTATTAAGTATGAATGGAATTAACTCCTATAGGAAGAGAAAAGTGTAATGTGCTTACTTACAGCCCGGAAAATTTAGGATTTACTTGGTTCAAGATTTTCTGCAGCTTGCACTTGTTTTATTCAATTTGTCCTAAGCGGGTCATGTTTTGAAGCAATTACTTGGGCATGCAATGCAGGTGGTTACGGATAACGGCCTCGTCTGAGCGATGTTGCCGTCACCTTCACTTCCCCGTCCCTCGGTCGAGTAGAAGGTAAAACCATGGGTTGTCGGCCATCGCGCCGTTTTTTGATGTGGATGGCCTTCGTGCCTCCCATTGTTGATGTGTCGGTCTTTGTGCCGTGAATGTGGGTGTTGGCCATCGAGCCGATTTTTTTGCAGTTTTGGAAACCTCCCGTCACGAGGAGGTTGCACCAAAATTTAACTTATACCCTTTTTTGCGAGAAGCGAGGACGCGTCAAAGGAGCTTGAGTAGTCGATCGTCCTCGTCGGTATTCAAGCGACTCTCCTTTGCCCGCCTGCTTCTGTCTCTCCACCGCCACCTTAGGTATAAACAACCTCTACTCCCAGATCTTTGTCGAGATCTACGTAAACCGATTAGGCGTCTCCCGTCCAGAAAGAGATACGGTTGGAGGCATGCAGAGATCAACGTGTGTATCTCGTCGTATCTGTTCGGATTGTCCACGTTTTTTGAAGGGCACAGTATCGTAGATGAGTCGATTTCCATGCTCGCTCCGATCCGAGCGAATTTGGCAACACTCTCCCCATTGTTCTTCGAATACACAAACTTCTTTGCGGGGCGTGTATTGGGAGAACATCGGAGAGGTGCTTTGCCAAATTTATCTCGATAGGAGCGGAGCATGGAAACCGACCTCATCTACGACACGCTGGTGGGATTAGGATCTATCCTCACCTATTAGATGCAGTAGGAACACCGGCTAGGTGCATTTGATGGTTACGTTACTTTCGGTGATGTATTTGTCAAAGGATGGAGGACCGCCGCGATGGATGTACGGGGGCGAAGAAGTCGAAACGATTACGACGTGGATTGGGTGAAGAGGACGGATGACTTCTTGAAACATGCATTTGGCGAGGGTGTAGCTAAAGGGCATTCTCTAGTTTGGTGTCCGTGCGCACCACTTTGTGACAACAGGAGAAGGGTGGACAAGCGGACCATGGGTAAACATCTTGTGTACCATGGTTATCGCCGGCTACCACCGGTGGATCTACCATGGTGAAGCCGATCGTGTCGAGAGGAGGTGGTGAGACCACGTCTTGAGCCTTTTGATGATGATGGGGGTAGCGACATGATAGATGACGCTCACCAAGCTCGGTTAAGCTAAAGGACGTGACAAGGAGGAGATGGAGGCAAACGTAGAAGCCATCTACAAAATGTTGGACTCGGCGTCTAAACCCCTTCACGAGCATACAAATATTTCTCACCTGGATGCCATTACGTGTGATGGGGCTGAAGGCCGAGTTAAACTGAGTCGAGAAGGCTTCGATAAGATGTTGATCGTGTTTGGCACCATGCTACCGAAGAACCCACATTCGCCCCCCCAACTTGTACGAGTCGAAAAAACTCCTTCGTGCGCTCAAGATGCCATATGATAAGATACATTGTTGTCCAAAAGGGTGTGTCCTATTTTGGAAAGAACACGAGCATGCAAAGTACTGTCCGAAGTGTGGATCCTCCAGATACCTGGAGGTAGTATCTGGTGATGGCCAAAAGGTGCAGCTTACGATCCCCGCGAGAGTCTTACGTCACCTTCCTTTCATAGCGAGGATCCAACGACTTTTCATGACCGAGGAAACTGCGAAACAGATGACATGGCACAAGAATGGCAAGCGGTACAATCCGGACAAGATGGTTCATCCATCCGATGCTGAAGCATGGCAGTACTTTAATGATCGACATCCTGAGAAAGCAGCTGAGGCTCGGAATGTACGTGTCGCCTTCGCAACAGATGGATTCAATCCTTATGGATTGATGTCTTCCCCATACACATGTTGGCCTGTGTTCACTATCCCTCTCAACCTCCCCCCTGGCATCGCCTTCCAATGACAGAACGTATTTTTGTCGTTGATAATTCCTGGACACCCAGGAAGTAATATGGGAGTGTTCATGGAGCCTGTGATTGACGAATTGATAAAAGCTTGGGGAGGGGTATGGACATACGACCGAGCTACAAGGTCAAGCTTCAAAATGTACGTTTGGTATCACTACTCTCTGCATGATTTCCTGGCGTATGGGTTATTCTGCGCCTGGTGTGTTCACGGGAAGTTCCCGTGCCCACTATGCAAGAAAGCTGTGAGGTTTATTTTGTTGAAAAAGGGTGGCAAGTATTCGTCGTTCGACAAGCATCGTCAATTCCTCCCTTCTGAACAACCATTCAGACAAGACATCAAGAACTTTACAAAAGGTGTTGCAGTGACAGACCCTAAACCCCACATCAGGAGTGGTGCCGAGGTTCATGCTCAGATAGATGCTCTCGTGCCCAACGAAGGAGGTGGTTTTGTGGGTTATGGTGAGGAACATATGTGGACTCATAAGTCCGGCTTGACCAGGCTCCCCTATTTCGATGACCTTCTTCTGCCACATAACATTGATGTAATGCACACCGAAAAGAATATCGCTGAGGCACTTTGGGCAACTCTCATGAATACAGAGAAATCTAAGGACAATGTTAAGGCTAGAGTGGACCTAGCGACGTTGTGCGATAAGAAAAAACAAGAGATGCAACCTCCTAGTGGTCGAAAACAAGAAGTGGAAAAAAGCCTAAGGTGGATTTCGTCTTGAAAATAGATGCCGGGAGGAAGTACTTCAATGGATCAAGAACTTGATGTTCCCAGATGGCTATGCCGCTAATCTGAGCAGGGGAGTGAACTTAGGCACTTTGCGAGTCAACGGGATGAAGAGTCATGACTACCATATATGGATTGAGCGGCTTCTCCCTGCAATGGTCCGAGGCTACGTCCCTGAGCATGTCTGGAAAGTGTTGGCAGAGTTGAGCTATTTCTTTCGCCTGCTGTGTGCTAAGGAGATATCTCGGAACATCGCTATGGAATTGGAAAAGGTGGCACCTGTGTTGGTCTGTAAGCTGGAGAAGATCTTCCCACCCGGCTTTTTCTTGCCGATGCAGCATCTGATCGTGCACCTTCCCACTGAAGTACGTTTGGGGGGGCCTGTGCAGTTTCGTTGGTGCTTTCTAGTCGAGAGAGGACT